ATAATAATAAATAGATTAAAAAAGATAATGGTTAAATATTAAAAAAGAAATGATGACAAAGTCTTAAACATTTACTTCTAATAAATTTTTGACCATTCATGAATAATAATAATAATAATAAAAATAAAAATAATATATAAAAATAAAAGTTGCCAAGTTGACAGGTTTAAATAGATCATGGAAACCTTAAACTTTCATTCCTAATACAACCTACTTAAATCCACTTGATTGACTTGATTGCATATTTCCAGAATGCAAAAAAAAGTTGAAAATATATATATAAATGTAAAAAATGTGTTTCATAAAATGTTTTTGTACACAGTCACAAAACTATTTCTATTCTAAACTCAATTGAAATAGCCTGTTTCACAATATAAAAAAGATCAATGATCGAATTAATTTATATATGAAAAGATCTGCATAAATTTTAACCAATCATTTTATTTTTGTTTTGCATTGCATGGTCTTTTTTCATTCCCAACTATATAAAACCACCCTCCCTAAATGCAATCTGTAACTTCATGTGATTTTATGCATTGTTAATCATGTAACCTTAGAAAATTTTTACAATTACATTAATTTGGCTTTGACTTAATTCCCAAAAACTCAATTTTTAACTGTGTCTTGGCTCAATTATATGTTTTTCATATGACTCAATTAATTACATCAAAAAGTCACTCAATTGAGTCAAGTGTAAGCATGTTAGCTGAAGTTGGCTCTCTTAATAATGGTGAATAGTTTTTCATAAATGCCAAAATTATATCTGAAATTAAAAGGCTGGGGAGATTTTTATGTCTATTGATACAAAGAATATTGTAAATCCAAAATTGCTTGCCAAAATTGATTTTCCAAAAACCATTTTGGCTAACATTCTTATCAACCTATTTCTACCATAGTTAACAAGTTTGGAATTGTCCATACAATGAACAAGCAAAATCAGTTAATTCTCTTGAAAAATATATTAACTTAAAAAAAATAAATACAATACATAGGTAAACTCAATAAGTCAGACACAAATGGCTGGACATGGTATCTGACTTATCAAGAGATCCAACTTATCAAAATATGCAATTTTACAAAAAAAAAAAAAAAAAAATAAGAAAATCGTTGTTTGAATCATATTTATTTATTTATAATAATAATTGAAAAAATAATTTAATAAAACAGATAGAAGATAAAACAAAAAAAATCTCTACTCTTTATCTAAATACAGTCAGGGAATATGCTAAATATGGAAATCGATTCTGGAAAAATTGGAACCCTTTTTGTCAATCAATTCACATATATTACAAATGGTCTAATGTATATAAAATTTCATTTTTTTTCATTATTTAAGTTCACATTCAAAGTTATTTCGTTAGAAACCTTATCATTTCTTGTAACTTTATACAAAAATTCTTAATAACCATAGGAATAAATAAAATAGAAATTCTAGTTTCTAAGATCTTTTAATAGTAAGTTCTTGATCTCATATATTGATTTAAAAAAATAATTTTGTTAACCAACTATACAAATTTCTTATTAATAGTAACCATAGGGATATATAGAACGAACCTCTAGTGTCTATTAATGAATATGCCATAAGTTTGCTTTTATCTAAATTTACAAACATTTACATGTAAGCATTACTTAAAAATTTTTTTTTTAAATAACTTATTTATATATTTATTGTTTTATGAATATTATACCAATTTTTATATATGTATATATTCAATGGGTAAAGTGAATAATTTAGTCATGATCAGAGAGCATAATTAATATTAATTGATTATTTTTATTATCAATTTTTTTGGATTAAATGAGATATCAATGATATCAATGAATTTGCAGGTAAAGAAAAAAAATTATTGAATTTGTATACAATATTAAAATCATTTATCAGGTTACTGATTTTTATGTGTGTATATTATATTTAATAGGTAAAAGGAATAACTTGGTCAGTTATAAATTATAAACACATTTATTTGTGTATATTAATTATATTTAATGAGTAAAAGAATAACTTGATTGGTTATATTATATTTAATGGTTAAAAGGAATAACATGGTTAGTTATAATTATAAACACACTTATTTGTGTATATTAATTATATTTAATGGGTAAAAGAATAACTTGTTTGGTTATAATTATAATAAACATTATTTTTATTATTATTAAATAACTATTACAGAAAAAATTAATGTGTACATACACTCCCTGGACAAAAGTTTCGGTCACTACAAAACAATTAATTACGCAAAAACGTACATAATAAAACACAAATAAATTTCATCAAATTGTGACCAAAGTTTGCAAGAATATGTATGCAAAATTTCAAATTTTTATAATGTTTGGGAGAATAACAGTTAAAAAAAATAAAAAGTTCAACCAAAAATATTCTGAAAAATTGTAGTTTGCCAAAAAAAAACAGTTTCTCAGAAACTTACATAATAACCACACCTGAAATCGTGACATATGAAAGATTAGATTCTGAAAAATTACGTCATATGTTTTTTATACAAGTTTTTTTGTAAAAAATTGTTTTGAAATTTTTGAAATTTTTGATAAAATTAAAAAATGTCAAAGCAAAAATCGTCAAAAATTGGATTGAAACAAAAAAGTAAAAATTTTGAAAAATTGGCCAAGCCAATCTCCTGATTTGAATCCAATAGAGCATCTGTGGAATAAATTAGAAATTCATATTCGGAAACGTCCAAATAAATTTAAAAATAATGTTGAACTTGAGACCACTTTACATGAAGAATGAAATCAAATTCCTAGAAATATTTATATGAATTTGATAGAAAGTATGCCGAGAAGAATAGAAGCTGTTATATCCAATAATGGTCAGCCAACAAAGTGTTGACTTGCATACAAATAAGTAAAAATTTCAGGTGTAGTTATTATGTGCGTTTTTTTTTTGAGAAGTGGTATAAATACTTGCAAATAAAATCAAAATTTTAGAGATCATTTCCAAAAAATTATTTTTGGTCGAACTTTTTATTTTTTTAACTGTTATTCTCCCAAACATTACAAAAATTTTTAATCGCAATTTGATGAAATTTATTTGTGTTTTATTATGTAAATTTTTGCGTAATTAATTGTTTTGTGGTGACCGAAACTTTTGTCGTCTTAATATTAAGTTAATTTAATAGTAGCCGAAATTATTCCGAAATTTTTATAGCATAGTTGTTATTATTATAAATTATAATAAAACAAAACTATGGTCCGGTGTACCGTCATCGTTTAATTAGTTTCGTGTAATAATAATAATTTTTT